TGGCAAAGCTGGCTAGGTAGTCGGTGCCCACCTTCCTGGATGCCGGTTTTGGGGGTGGAGTTGCAGCTGTACTTACCTCTTAAAAACACAACTGTTCGTAACTTTTTGGGTAACATGGGCGAAAAGTGTCTGTAAAAGGTTAACTTCCCGTTTTAAGAGGTAAGTGTATAGTCATTTTGGGCTGCGAGATGTTGGGTTCCGAGCATGTCATTGAGCGTCCAGAAGACATGAACATGCCAGATTGGGGTGGCCCATTTTCACGCCGAGCTGTTTTTGGTTTTGGCAGATGCTGAACAATGACACGTTTCCGACGTGTCAAGTGGCCCTGCACGTTTGAGCAGGCGAGTCAACCCAAGTGGCCAAATTGAGTGGAGGGCTGCAAAACAAATGTGCAGGCCCAAACCCTATTCGCTCCTGCTTCTACCAAGATGGTTGCAAAGGTTTATATAGCCCTTATCAAATTCCTTCTTAAACCGTTGTCGTCAGCGAATTGCCCTTGTGCAGCATGAGAAACTCTCGTGTGTTGTTCGGTCAAAATAACCAGTATCGTCCATAGTCCAGTTGGGAGGGGGACAAGTTCGGGCAAACAGCACATGTTGACTATGTGATGTTTCTACAGCTGGGAGAGATTTACTTGTGGTTTCTGGCTGGGCGTGAGTCAAGGCTGTGATCTTCACTTGCATTGAGCGCGACTTCGATAGGCCTTATCTTCAGAGACATGCTCATCAACGAGCATCTGGAGAAGGAAGAGGACTCCAAAGGGCTGTGTACAGCTACTCATGGTTGTTGTTGGGATTTTGTTTAAATATATATATATATATATATATTTGCTTATTGTGGTTTAGTGGGAAATCCGCACTTAACTGGTAACACTTAATTTATTGCTCCCCTTCCAACGTCAAGCACTCCGAGAAGGTGCCAAGGACCTTTCCGGTTCTAAGCCCCACCAGGATCGGAGTGAACGGCTCAGATGCCTGCAATCAGCAAGGATGAATCTTACCTCTTAAAAACACAACTTTTCAGCTTTTTGGGTAACATGGGCAATATGTCTGTAAAAGATTAACTTCCCCAGGGCTTGGAGTTTTAAGGGGTAAGGAATGGTTGATAGTTGCTCAGGGACTGTGTTGCAAAGCACAGGCGGACGCAAACGCTCGGCGTCGTGTTGGCTTTTTTGCCGGGGTCCCAAGGCTCTTTGAACAAGAGTAAATGCAAACCATGGACAGACATCCCAAGTCTCAAAGCCTCAGGTCGCAACCTCCACAATTTCCAGGGCTAGTGGCGACAAACACTTGTTTTCATCCAGATGGAAGACAGATGTCAGGGCTCTGCCACTCCCACGTTCCCCAGCCCTTGGAGGTTGCTTCGTTCGCCTGGCTCCATAAACATACTGTGGATGGACAGAATCCTGCACCACCTGAGAAACCCTGGAATGATGATTCCCCTGCAATTACCAACAAACAATGGTTTCAACCATGGTTCAACGTGGTGCAGGATTTCGTCCATTCACAGTAGGGGTCAGCTTTGGCTTTCCGAGCGCATGACTTAGACGCGTTTTTTGGGTGATCTGAATCCAGCAATCTAAATGCACCTGAGAGCAGCAACCATTGGTGCGCATCCCCGTCTTTCGACGAAGCACAGAGCCGGATCTCAAATTCTAAGCGAATCACTGGGGGCCAAAACAACGACACCCTCGATAAAGGTGTCTGTTGGATGTTCCTTCGTTCAGGTTGGTGAATTGTCACAAGTCACCCAGAACTCATCCCGCACCCTTGGAGATGTATCGCAGGAAGGACTTCTTTGGTAAAGCCGTCCCTGAAAAGTTTAGGCAGGGTTCGTCAAATCTTAGTTTTGTCATCTAAATACTTTTCTCACACCAGCTTTCTAGAAATAAGGGGGACCCCACCGAATATGCTGTTGTCCCCCTTGGTTTCCCTCTAAAGCAACCCACGGGTGCTAGCTCCAAAATCGGGGTACCGATATTCGTCGGACATGGGTGCTTGTGGGTGCTCTCTTGAAACATATACCCAAGAAGGAGTCAAAATGGTTCCTGACTCCTGACATGATTTTCACGGGGAGTTACGCCCGTTTCCCGAAAATAGTGAGCCAGGTGGTACTTATTATTCGGAAGTATGTCAGCTTTCTGTCCAAATTTCTATCTGAAACTTCCTAGCATCTCTTATTCTGCATGAGGTTATCAAAACATAGCCCAACAACCAGCAGTTATCTTTGTTGGGGACAAAGGTTGAGCTAGCTTGCCTTGAGGAATCGTGGAGAGGAGACTCTTCGAAGTGAGTCAAGTCACGAGCTGTCAAAGCCAGTTCATGTTCACTTTAGTCACTGTTTGAGGGAAGACGACCATTTCTCTAGGGGCTGATTCCCCATTATTTTCAACCATCGTTCTTTTCAAAAACCAGCCGTTTTCGCTGGGTTGCGGAGGTTTTCTAGAAATAAGGATCCCTGGAAAGAATGGGGAAGGTAGCAGTAGTTTGGGCTTTTGCTGGCCACCCGACTCCGGAAGTGCGTTTTGGGATTGTCCCTCACCTTCACTCGCTCGGACATGGCAGTAAGTTGCAATGGAACCCACCAGAGGGTCCCTGTCACAGCAAGCTAAATTCGTCTTGCAGGACCGATTCCTCACACAGGTTCCATGGCAACGTGGACAGGAAGGTCAGCCTGTTTCTCAAAAAATCGGGGACACCCTCCAGGTATTTTGGCTTCCTTTCGGTTTCCCTGCCATCGCATCCCCAAAAACACGGGGTCCCCCCCAGTCTGTACCTGTCCGGTCCACGGCCCCTCGCCCTCGAAGCGAAGAAAGAAAGCTCCGCGGAGGACGGCCACGACTTCCAGGAGTCGGAGATCCGCTGGACCGCGGCCACCACCGTCAGGCGCTGGATCCGCACCCGCGTTTTTTTTTTGTAGGACGAGAAGCTGCAGGCGGGTGGGAAAAAACGTGGGCTCCAATACTCAACGTGTGCCATGGGTTTTCAGTTGAAGATGGAGAACAGCTGGTTTGAGTTGCTGCCATTGTTTCAAAAAGGGCACCTAGGATTGCCTCGGCTTCTCTCTGGTGAGAAAAACGCACGTAGCGACATGAGTCCATGCGTTCCCGAAGGGTTTTACACTCATTGGCTAGGTCCCCCGGCTAGGTGCCCTTTCTCTCCCCTTTTTTGGTTGGGAGGGTTCGGATTGCCTCGACTTCTCTCTGGTTAGAAAAACACACTTAGCAACATGAGTCCATGCGTTCCCGAAGGGTTTTGCACTCATTGGCTAGGTCCCCCGGCTAGGTGCCCTTTCTCTCCCCTTTTTTGGTTGGGAGGGTTCCCCTACGAAAGTAGACTACAGAAAAAGAGTTGGTACCCTTATTCTAACCTCTCTACTGGAGACCTAGTTGGTGAAAGTCGTGAACTCGAACCAGGCACCAGTCGCGTACCGAAATACCAGGAAGATTGAGATCCACATGGGGTCAGACTCGAGGATTCCGAATCAATCTCACAAAGCCGCCCTTGGACCCACAAATGGTGCAGGAGATGAAAAGACTAAAGAGGAGGACAAGGAAGAGGAGGAAGAGGGAGAATCCCGACTTTCCCAATGCGTCATCCGTAGCACCAATTTGAAAAAAGACTACCACCATCCAGCATAGGGATAGAGGATTGACTTTGACACAGCCCAACTGAAAGAGATCACGTGAAACGTGCCGGTGGGTCTTTCCACCAACAGCCCAGGCAAACAGGTTCTTTGGGCCTTCTCGCGGTGGGGTATCCCCATCCACCAAGAGGCTTCAAGACTATGCTATGAGAAAGTGGAAGGGGCAGAAGAAAGGAGAGCGAAGAGGAAGAAAGCGGAGGAACAATCCAAACTTCCCGCACGGCGAGCCCCGATTTCCCGATGATTTGACTCAGAGGGTGGGGGTTGCTAGGCGCAACTTTTCCCCTTTTGGGGAGGGTCTGCCTTGCAAATCCGCCAGCCCAAAGATGGGACAGTCCGATTTTTTCTGTGGCCGCGAGGTCCAGGTCACCAGGTGAATATGACCCCAAGAGGGGTCGTAAAATATCCTGAAGGTACGTGCCAACGCCAGGGACATATTTGGGGTGATTGTAGCAGAATGCCAACATGAGACTAGAGGCCTAGAGGGCTGCTCTAAAGGAGCAGACCCGTCTGTTTTTTTTTTTTTACCGCCGACCTTTTGTTCATTTGTTCATTGCTCAAGGTCCGCAAGCTCATGATCAATCCGCTCTCGCTGTGTGTTGTTTATGACTAGGGCCACACGTTGCGGGAAACCAAAGGAGAACCTTTTTCAGGGCTCCTTGAAAGATACATTTTCCCATTTGAAACATGTTTTTGTCCACCAAAATAAAGGGAAAATACCATTTACAAGGCAATGTGCAGGTGTATAATGTAAGGATCCAGTTTTTTTTTTGGGCCATGGTCGGGCGCAGTCCAACTTGCTTCAGGTACCCACTGCTTTGCAGCGTGGCCGGCGTGCTCGCGGGCCTCTTCGGTGTGGGAGGTGCGGGGGATGCGAAAGGTGGGAGGTGTTGAATCTGAGCTTTTTTAGTAGTCACCGTCAAAAGCGTCAAAACCGTAAACCCCCCTGCACCCAGCCATGGATTGACTCTTCTGACATGATTTTGGGTCCCCTTCAGTACCGGGTTTTGATTGACTCGTCTGGTGGCAGCAAAAGGGTCTTGCCTCTTTTGGTGGAGCCCCCTCACTTTTGCCGGGAAACCAGACGAAAGGCGCCCAGGGCCCTTGAAAATTCACGCAACCCCACACGCCATTCGATCGCCCCAAAAAACACACTGGCCCTGGGTGGTTCTGCCTGGTTCAGCCAGGATAGCACAGGCTTTCTGAACCCCTGGGCGCGCAACCAAATGCCGAGGCGGCATCATCAAGGGGCCCGCGCCTCAAGACACGGAACGTCTCTTGGCTCCCCAAAGCTCGCCGAACTCGGAGTTCTCGGCGTCAAGTTGACAAGTTCAAAACAGCACCTTTTGAAAACAAAAACATGAACACCCACGCCTTTCAGTTTTTTTTTTTCTCAAGTGGACAACAGGCGGCCTTTTTGTGGACCTCGTTTTCGTTCGTTTTTGAAGGGAGACCAAAAGGGCACCCAGGGATCTGGCGGGGGAACCGCTTTTGAGAACCCATCCATCGACCTCTTCCAAGGCTCGGAAGCTCAACCCGCGGGGGTGCTTCCCCAATTCCAGAGAGACATGCACGAAGCCAAACAAAGAAATCACTCACTTCATGAGTTCATGAGCTTTAAACTTTTTGGGAAGACCATTTTAGTGACAAATATAAAGTTTGGACTTTTTTTGGGCCATCCACTCAGCAAGTGAGAATCAACAAGGAAGCAGGTAAACAAATGAAGGGACAGTGGCCCTTTGGCTCCATCAAAGTCGAAAGACATGTTGCCAGATTGTTCACATGGGAAGTGGTGTAGATTCCCATTCATGGCTGGCAAAAATCCATAGTCGTGCCTGCGCATCAGCGGTTGCTTGGTGAATCTTTTCATCAGATCCCAGTTGCCAAAGTCTAAGGTCGATAACTATGAGACAGAATCTGGGCATGCGACTTTCCGAGTACCGGGTTTTTGTTGGCCAATGTTTCGCCACAGCAACATGTGGAGCGGTTTCAGAATTTGGCTGCATCCTAGTGTAATGTGCTCAAAAGTGCTAGCTTTGAAACTCACAAAAGTTCGGGTTGCTATAAAGGTTCTATAAAGTTTGAACCGGGCACATGTTGAAGCCACATGAGGTGAGGGCAGATGCTCCAACATGCCTCGTGAGGTGCTGGCTGACAAACTCCGCAAAAGGTTTGACCAGTAGCGAGAGGTCCATCACTGCCGATCCGGTTTTGGACTTTTTGAGAATCAGTATGCCAATGCCCTATGCTTCCAAAGTTTGTTTTAAACATGTACGTTGTGACAAGCACGGTTTTTTGAGACAAAGACTTTTGTTGGATCCGTGTCTTTCTTAGTTCCACGTTGAACGTCTCAAGTGAGCCGAGTCCGTGCTAAAAAAAAGAGGATTTGTTTATCGGAGAACTATCAGGGCTTCAGCAATGAAGCGTGGGAAAGACTTTGGCACCAATTTCAGTCATTCCCGTGGATCCCAGTTGCCCTTATAGTAGGAACCCGCTATTTTCCTTTTCGTGTTTCAACGGGCGGTTCCCACTGGGTTGGATCCACTGGGTTTAACTGCAACTTCAGGCAGAGGATCGCACGTATGTTTTAGTTCCTAGTCGGCGAGGTGTCGGATTTTAGCTGGTCACCATGTTGCGTTTCGACGGGCAGGGAATGAGTTGGAATGTCCTCAGCCTGAACCATCCAACTGGTAGTTTCCCAGATCCCCGGAAGCGGTTCATTCCCAAAACTCATCTTAATTCCTTACCAAGAACCAGCAAGCTGATCAAACAAGACTTGAATTTAGCGCCACTATAGCTCTCCGCTACTAGTGGGAGCAACGCCAAAAGCAACAAAGATATATTATCAATATACAACAATCTACCCATAAATATCTCAAACGGGAAATATCAACTAGATTTGTTTCGCTGAACTTCGGTCAAATGATGCCAGATGAGAAGATCAAGCTTTTGTATGAGGATGATACCCTAGCTGACTTTGACGTTTGAAGGATTTCCAACACTACAATGGGACCGTTCACGCTGAACTTCAAAACACACTTTCCAGCTCTTCCGCCCATGGCTTCGGAACTTGCTGAGGCCTCTGATGCTGGAGCTGGGGGTAGACCCCCGCGTGGCCTCTGCCACTGCGGCGGCCATGCCGGGACCTCAAGGATGCGGGGGCAGAGCAGTCTGCCTGTGTAGGTCCCCCAGGTGCCCTTCTCTCCCCTTTTTTGGGGGAGGGACCATGGCACAGATCCTTTACTTGGGGATCCAATTCTTATTCAGGTTTTGGACATTCTAACAAACAATGCAGAAGTTGGTGCTCAAAAACCAATTTTAACCTCCAGCACCCCTCAACCACCGCTTTGTTCTGTTCTTTTTTGATTTTGGACATGGGCAAAAGCAGTGGGGGAGTGCTGGCTGTGGGTTTTCCACGTTTGGTCCATTTTGAGTGATTGTCCAAAAGGTTAGCTTTGTATGTCCAGCTTTGGGCAGGTGTGTGGTTTATCAACCAGTATTCTTACGGCTTCGTTCATTTGGCGCCGATCCGCGTGGATGGTCGGACTGCTTGACACGTATTCTCACCGCCGTTTGTGAACAGTCAGTTCGGACTTGTTTAGGCCAATCCAGTTAGGGTTTTGAGTGTTTTGATGCTATTCAAGGATCGAGACGATTTAGTCAAGTAGCTCGAAACTCCTTGGATGCGGCAACCAATGCTAGAAACATATGGTGCTAAACAACTACAGAGCATCCACAATGACCAAGCTTGGTTTCAAAGTACTCCGCGCCTCTATTCTAAGCTTATCAGGTGTTCATTGAAATTGCAGATGATGCACAATATATGCTTCGCTGTTCTTGGCATGTTTTGTGTTTTTAGTTTTTTTTAGTTTTTTGGTTCTGTTCATTTTTCCTGGGGGTCTGCAAAAAACAAAGTTTTTTGCTACCATACCAAGAGTAGAGATGTATGAATCATAGTCCAGAGGCAACAGGAGGTTGTTCACTTCAACATGTCTTAAGAGCTTGGCCCAACCCTGGAGGGTTGAAGACTCGAAAGAAAAAAGAAGCAAAGACCTTCGGCAGGATTCTTTTTTATTGTTTTTTAATATGTTTATGTTTGTTAAAAACAAATGTTTAATATATATATTTCCCCCACTTGCTTGGAAGTGCCGTCCAAATCCAGCAACCATAATGTCGACCTGTGATTAAAACCCCCCCCCCAATTAAAGTTATGTTGTAGGCCGGCACTGATTAATATCCCCCCAAAATAAAGTTATGTTTTTTCTTTTTCTGTTTTTTTTTGCGTGGAATCCACACTCACAAAAACACACCAAACGACACACACACACACACACCAGCTAGCATCATCTCAACCTCTTCCACTAGCTGGTCTGATTGGTCATTATCGGCCTCGCCTGTCTTAAAATTTCAGATCTACCAAACATACCAGCTCCCAAACTGCAAGTTCTTTATATACTCTTGTTTACA